GAGCGACATCGACCTACAGGGGGGGGGTGTGGGTGGGGGGGTGAGGGGGTGTTGCACGCCCCGAGAAAGAAGTAAGGGCAAGGGGGCACACAAACCACTGCTTTATGAGAAGGAAAATAAAGATTTAGGGAGCCAGGTGGAAAAGTTGGCCTTAAATTGTGCATTTGGCTAAAGCAGCATTGATTTGATTTTTGCTTAACGCGTTGGACAAGACATCGTAGCTTGTAAATCATGATTTACGGTTTAGTCTCTTGTGGAAAGCTAGCCAATGTGGTTTATTCAGTGCACCTTGGTTAAACTGGTGCACCAGATGTGTTGTTTGGATCCAGCCTGGGTAATACCCTGCAAGCTGTTTTCTTAATGTTCATCGTGATAAAGAAAGAGATTGGCATCCAGGGGAAGCCACAATGACATCACGGGCATCGTGTCATTGTGCAATTGAAGCACATGACATCATCTTTCTCCCCCTCCCATAAAAGAGGACCTTACCTGCATGTAAGGCTGGATTGGCCCATGTACTTTGGGTTGTATCTTTGTGTCTACATGAGTTAGAAACATGGGGTTTTTTGTTTAAAAAAAAAAAGCTGAGATTGACAAGCAGACTGAAATCCGTGCCTGATTAAATCCCAAACTTTCCAGATGGAATAGTATGAAGTTGGTATCCATGTTACAAAGAGAGTTACGGATTTTCAGTTTCTCGGTTCCTTTTTCTGAGGGCCCGGGGATACTGCTTTGCCTTGTTAAGTTTTCTCCTTTCGTATGATGCTTTTATGTTCTTGTGGGGACCATCTCCTACAGTCACAACCCCCGGCTGTAGTTTGGACACGTAAGAAAACATCATGCCAGTTTGCTCAGAGGCCCAGAAGCTGCAAAGTTTTCTTGGATGCCAGAACACCTTTGCTGTAGCACATGGAGGAAGGATAAAGCCAAGAAGGAGGAAATGTGCGGGGAAGAAATAGGCAGACCATTCAACGTTCAGTAAATTAAAGGGAGCAGATACTCAGAGCCCTTCTCTTTCCATATTGAAGCTTGCTGCGTAAGCGCTCTCAGCTGGCCCGGCTAGATGGTGTCATCCTAACTCCCTTTCGTTCTGAATCAGCTGGTCAGGACCGGAGCAGAAATGGAGTTTGTTCTTTTTTTTTCTTTTAACTGCATCCACAAACCCAATGTTTGCAAAACTACAGCGGTGTCAAAAGAAAGATTCATGGAGCAACGCAACTCTGAAACAAAAAGTAAAAATGAAAAATGTATTACATACGACTCCTGTGTCTTTTACGTAATTGCAAAAACACATAAACTGGAATGGGAAGCATTCAGCAGCCGAGGAGTTTTGAGTGTCAGGAAGCAAATGTGGGAAAAGTAGGGTGAGAAAGATGCAGCCACGAACAGAAAAGAGCAGCAAATGCCATTATTATAAAAACAGGCACACAAGAAAAGATCAAACTACATCTTAGCAGCAAGCTGGGAGTAAAAGGGTTGTAGCAC